AAAACACACCTATAATTATCATCATCTCAACAACCCAATGCATTGCACTGCACTTGTCTGATGGCAATTTGCCATTCTGCTTTTTGGGAAACATTTGCACTATAGAAGTGGCTAAAGCATAAGTTATTTGGGTCAAGATTTATGCTAAACGTACAAAAAAAGTCAGGTCACACTGCAGCTTTATTTTTTTACATCTACATACTGACAGCACTCAGACTTCGTACACAAAATTTTCCTGTCATCTCAGAATCTCCAACAAAACTGAATTTTTGAATGCCAGGAACATTTTTAATAGCTAACTAACACTTTTGCAGGCTGACTTTGAAAGCCTACCCCTGTTTTACAATGTGGTTCAACACATGGCATATTCTTGGGAATTCTTGCTGAAAAATAACAACATCCATACTGGAGCACTTACTACTGATCAGAGTTCTGCATTTCTGTACTATGCTGTGTCTGACCAAAACTATGGTCCAGTACATAAAGAAGCAGCCCAAGATCAACTTTTACACGTAATGGCCATAGTTGAACTCTACATAATTCTGAATGTGTTCCTATACAGTTGCCTAAAAATTTCTGGCTTACCAGGCTACTAGGAACTAAAAAGGAAGAAAAGATTATTTTTTTCTTCTTTTTTTTTTCAGGAACACGACTTACTTCAGGTGACAGACAGGAACAAGAGGATGAGTCACTGCCATCCACAGCTGGTGAGGGGAACTGAGTGAAGCTGCAGAGGCAGCACAGGGCTCACCAAAGCAGTGGGAAAGGCAAAGGATGCTGCCAAAAACACTCAGCCACACAGGACATGGAGTTCTTGCATGACAAACATCCCCCTCCATGGATTTCCTCAGGCAGCATGTGGATGAACCTTTCCATGGGCAATTTATCCGGCAACAAACTCACCATGTAAATTCATTGGATCACTGGGATTATTTTAACCTAAACTTTTTTGTCTTAGCAGGTATTTTTTAGGAGTAGCAGACAGAAGAGTGAGCTTTATAGAAGAAAAAAACTTATTCTCAATATAAGAATTTATACTCTAGCATACATAACAATGCAAGTTCTTACTAGTTGTTTTTTTTTTGTCCCTCTGAATTTTAGACTGAAAAATGTGTCTCTACCTGGTAAAAAGACTAATCCAACTGTTTTTATGACAGCGTAAGACTCAAACCGAATTTTTCTTAGTGGAACTAAAAGTGGGACTCATGTTCTGATGTTTTCTAATGCAAACTATCAAGTTCCATTTCACACTAGCTCCTGCCATTACAGTAGGCACATGTAATGCAAAACCTGCCTGGAAGCTACTCCTGGTTCTGAAACATCACTGGAATTAGCAACCCCTTTCTAAAAGATCAAGTTTTCATCTGCCATTTTAAGACATGACGTATTTGAGGACTGATTTTGATAAATCACTGGATGGTGAAAGCGTTTAAGACTGTAATCTGGAAAATAAATCTACAATATAAAATAGAAAGAAACTGTGAGGATTCCTATAGAAATTTAGCATAAATTTTTCCCCATGGCCATCAGAAGTACTCACAGCTGTATTTGTTTAAAGACATAATTAAATGAAGAACAAGGTATGCAGCTTCACAGAAAGCTGAGGGCTCCAGTGGGTGTGTTAGTCAATGCTGCATAAAGAAACAGTTCATCAAAAAGAAGGTGCCTTTGCATGAAATCACCTTAGAGTAGCAGCACCTGTGGACCAAATCAGCAGACAAGACAGTTATTCCTCAACAACGCCCATATATTCCAAGTGTAGAGTGAAAACAGAAAGGAGTTCCTTTGACAGTTATCTCAGCTGGCAGCATGGAAAACAGGCCACTTAAGAAAGGGTAATAATACCTGCAACCCAGAAATAATCATTACCAATAGATTTCACAGTCAGTTGTGGTAAAAATGGTATTTATCCAAGATCACTGACTCCTCCTCATGTAACATGTTGAGGGGAGCATCTTTCTCAAAGAACAGTTAGGGGCAGCAGAACTCACCACAACATAGCTGCTTAAATGCTGTTGAAGACATTAACAAATTCTAGTCCTTGGTATCATCAGCAGAAGGTACTACAGGTTGGCAAGGAAACTGCTTCACAAAAGACTGAGATGAGCCTTGCTAGCATAATTCCTTGATGTATGAAGGCTCAAAATAAAATAAATTAACAAAAGACACGTCATCAAATACCCCAGCTCTGATGAGTATTTTTAATAACCGCTGACATTTCAATCATAACTGGAGAACACAACAACAAAGAATTGCCTCAGAGAAGCTCACCTAACTTTAGACATAAGCTACGTGAGGAAGGTAGGGCTATGTCGTAAAAGGAAGGGCTATGTCAACTGTGTGGTGTCTTCAACATATTGCCAAGTTACTTCCAAATGCTAAGGTACTTGATGTGGCCTTCTAGCCAATACACTTCACTCCTTCATTCCTCACATAAAATGCTCCACTGCAGGCAAACCCATCTGAGCACACTGCAAGCAGTCCTCACGTAGCTAAGGGAAGCAAATTCTTTACACAAAATGCTTCTGCAGGATTTGAGCCTCAAACTTGCAAGGGAAAGTTTAAATCTCACCCTTTGTAGCAGTTTGGTATGTCACAGAAGGCTGAATGCAACAGGCTGTGAAGCCAGGACTGTACATTGCGCAGTAACAAGTCTCACCTCTCAATAATGGAGATATGTTTTTTACAAGATGATCTTGTCTCAGCTACCTCCACCACTTCAGTGAGCATAGAGGGATCTTTTTGCAAAGAGCTGAGTAGCACAGCAAAGAGAAAGGGCACTGAAAATCACAGTTAACTTGGAACCACAGAACAAGGCTGTAATTCCATCATTTCTGTTGAATTATCCAGCTGAGGTGTGGTGGGTTGACCCTGGCTGGATGCCAGGTGCTCACAAATACCTCTCTACAGCTCCCCTCCCTCAGCAGGGGTGAGAAAATGTAACAGAAGGGTCATGGGTCAGGATAAGGACAGGGAGATTACTTACCAGTTACCAACATGGGCAAAACAGACTCAACTTGGGGAAATAAATTTATTACCAATGAATATAAGAGCATGATAATGAGAAAATAAAAACTACATCTTCAAACACCTTTCCCCCACCCGTCCCTTCTCCCCAGGCTTAACTTTATTCCTGATTTCTCTACCTCCTCTCCCTCAGCTGCTATAAGTATCTATCACACCCTAAGTGACCATACACAGAAAAAAATCCATTAAAAAAAAACCACTAAACCAACACAAAAAACCCAAACCCACAAAAAATGCAAAACAAAACAAACAACAACAACAAAAAAACACAACCACACAACAAAAAAAAAAACAAAAAACAACCAAAACCACCCAGTAATATAGGAGTTTATGTTCTTTAGATTCACCAAAGGAAACCTTAAAAACCTTAAAGAGGAATTTACATAAAGGAGTTCTTCAAAATGTTTCTGGGCTCAAAAAAACCACATGAAATTCCCTTGGTGGTTTGATTTTCATCTGGTGAACTAATGGACACGTAGCCATCCCAACTGCCCTGAACTCTTGTACAAGAAATTAAAGCATTGATATCAGTAACACATATGAATTTGTATTATCATAACCAGCCAAATCTAACTAATCTTCCATCTTTATCAAACAACCAGCAACAAAAAGGTTTTTCAGCACCTAAAAAAAAACCTGAAAAAAACATTACAGTAAAACTTTTCAAGAACATTTACAGAAAACACACACATCACAGACCACACCCTGAAAACCTAAGAAGAGGTAAGGAATGGAAATGGAACAAGGGTACACTTTAAAAGTTGCATGAAAAAAACCAAACATAAAAAACAGCTCTGAGATGTGAAATTGTAGGGTATGTGGTTATTTACTAACAGTATCCCAAAAGTATCTTTTGGCCAACTAGTGGAATAAGCAAATAAATCCTACCAGTCTTATAGAGCACAAAGCAACATTTGTCCCTATAAAATATTACAAAAATATATCCTTTCCCTGTGTTCAAGATCATTTGCAAGTATCTTCGACATTTATTATCCCCTCCTGTCCAGTTTGTGGATAAAAAAACAACTGAAAAATAAAATAGAGAGGAAAAACTCAGTTTAACAGGAAACATTCCCAGTTAGGACCAACACATACAGTTGAAACTGGAAAATGTGATCGTAGCTTCCTGGCCTCATCAGCAAAGTTTGTTTTTCTACTTGGTGTGTTACACCCAAGTTTTTCCATAGGCCTCCAACTGCATACTGTTGAGCTTTGTTTTTATTAGCTTTTGGAACAATAATTATCCAGAGTTTAAATTCCTTTATAGGAACAATTCATTTGGAGAAAACAAAGTTGGGGGGGGGGAACCAACCCTGTAGCAATGGAAAATACCAAAGGTCTTCCAAGAGTTAGATAAGGAATCAGGCACACTCCTCCATCCTCCAAAATACTTGACTGATCGATCATGTCTCTTCTACAGTAAGACTTCACTATTGTTCCTAATTGGAAACAATTAGTAAGTGATCACATGTGAAATTATATCAATCTACTGGGGAGAAAAGACAATCAATTCTAGGACCTGAATAACCTTCAGGTGTCAATACAGATGTATGGCACCATTTTCTTCTGACTTTCTCATTCGATCTACTTCAGTCAGATGACACCACCAAATTTCAGTCTCTAATCTGATAACACAACTGAAAGGGGCACCACAGACAATTCCTCACCTAGAAACTGAAGTCTTAGTTAAGACCCCCTTATACCTTTCTGAGTTTAATGAGGTACTGTTATCAAGTTTGGTCAAAAATCAGCTTAGCTTTGAGTGCCTCAAAGTGTCCAGTGACATGCCAAAGGAGAGAAAAGCACACATCCTTTCCTTTTCAAAGTTGCTCCATCAGGACATGGTTTAAATACAATAAAGATTTAGCTTCCAAAAACTAGCTGCTGTGCACAGTCTGTCATCAGTCATACAAATTTGTTAAAACCACGCGTACAAGGAGAGATGACAAAGTGCAGGTAAAGCCAAGTTTGTCTGCAGATGCTCTGTTGTCAAGCACTGCCTAAAAGTTACACGACAAAGTTGCTCTGCTTCAATGTCTGCCTGCAGAAGTTGCTTCCCAGAACAAGAAACACCAGCTCACCTCCTGCTGCTACATGAAAGTCAAGAAGCTACTCACCAGGCAGGGGAAATGGAAATTCCTGCTAGCATTACAAGGCAATCTTTGCAGGGGTGGGTAGAAATCTTACATTCCAAATTTAGGACTTTTTGGCATCTAGCAATTGGTACCTTGACCAAAGAGCCTGCAGCCAACAGGGCAACAACAAGGGACTAGGGACATTAACAGAACTCGGTACTTTCCTGCTTGAATCTTGCAGGCCCTAAGCTGCTAATTCTGAGCAAAGGACTTGCAAATAGTATCTTAAAATCATGTAAGTTTTAAAAAGTAAACCTTGGTGGAAGCAAACGTCAATAAACCCAAACACCTTAACTAAGCCAATAAACACCAGGATGTAAAGAACATTTAAAATATTAATGTCTGAACTACTCCATGTGAAATAAATTTTAAAAAAATCATGCTGATCTGTAAATGTTAATCTGGTTTGTTATTTTGCTGGTCGTGAGACATGCAGTAAGTAGTAGATCTACACAAGCACTTCATAAGTCAGTCAGACAAGGCTAAAGCTATATAAATTAATGAGTAAAGTCTTACAGATATATGTATGGACTAATTGCAGCAGGAGCCAAATTAACCTTAAAAAGTAGTGGAAAGAGCAGTTTGGGGTTTGGGGGGGTTGTTTTATTTGTTGTTTGGTTGTGTGGGGTTTTTTCACTCCAGAACAGCTTTGCCTGTTTTTGTCTTTTGCCTTTGTCAGAAGTTTTAAATCAGCATATGTGTGCACAAGTGAATCTACACTGACTCATACTCGTTTATGCTGAGGAATGGCCAAGCTCTACACATATTAGTGTAAAAAACATCATATCTCAGTTGCACTAAAACTGAATTCTGCTTGTTCAGCCATAGTCAACAGACAAGAAACACAGGCATTTGATTATATAAGAAAACCAATTTGTGGCAGGTTCCATCTATTACGAATCCAATTATGGCCCTTTTTTGTTTAGGGGTCAGGTCATATACCTGGAAAAATAACAACATTAAAATGTACTAGTCTTTTTTTTATATACTATTTTTCCCCTGGAGTTTAGAGGTAGCTAACAACAGTCTTCACAAAATGGATTGACTTTGTCTTAGGATTTAGGGACATACACATCATGTTACAGAGAGTCATATGTTAAAAAAAAACAACAAACAAAACACAAACAACCCAAACAAATCAACAACATCCAAAGAGAGTTTAAATTACTGACTTCTGGAACTAATCAACCCTGTACATGCTCAGGATAATTGGTTTCATTGTGCCTGGTACCAGAGATACTGCTTGCCAGTACAAACTAATACCCCAGTCCAAACTAGAACATTTCATAGGAAAATTCAGCCCTTCGTTTTCAGAAAGGGCACAAGGAGAAGGAGAAGGGTACACAAGCCCTCCACGGGCCCTGTAAACAATGATGCCTCTCACTCCCAATGAAAAGAATGGAACTCCTCCAGTATATTGCAGGAACCCACTCCCAATGACAACTTGTTCTTCTTCAAAAGGCTCAAAGAACTAATTTTCTTGTGATGTTACAGTTTGCATAGATCAATGGTAAAGATTATGGACCACATCCACCACTGCGCTGTGCTGCTGTAATGCCATTAAACAAATGTTCTTTCTAATCCAGCACTAACAGATCACACTAGGAGCTTTGAAATGGCACTCAGTCTGCTCTTAATGTCTAAATAAAACTTAAAAAAATCAAACCCAGTGGCACTGACATTAATCTGAAGTAATGTGGCTCTGAAACAGCCCTGATATTTTCATTTGGTTTTCATGGCTTGCCTCTTTGGGTGCTTACACCATGGAACATCCACATCCAAATTCTGCCTTGGACTCATCTCCAAAGCCTGTTTATTTCCATCAGCTATCCTGGACAGAAAGTTGCTGTAGAAAGTCGCTTTTTATTTACAAAATTACACATTCAGAATTGTAAAAACATAAAAATTAAAAAACTAGTTCTCCTTGGTTGGACCATTACATACTTAAATAGGGGTTTTTTTAACTGTTTCTTTGGGTTTTATCTGGATATATGTGGCAGCAATAGTTTCTAAGCCCTCAGTATAAGCTTCTAGTCCTGTATTTTAAAGGATATTTAATCCAAATCCTCCTTTTATTTATTAAAGATGCTTTTGTGTTTTTTGTAAGCCATACCTTCTGTCAAATCTCAATTGCTGCGTAATAAACACGCTGGATAAAAATAAATCTGTCTAAACTTACCATTTTGCCAATACTTGCTGAAACAACCTGCTCTTAAGCAAAACATCAGAGTTTTAAAAAGCAGCTTTATGAGACTATGAGAGAATCAGAGACCTGTGCTTTAATTGCCAGGTCTGTTGTATGCAAGCAATTTAATCTTCACTTGCTGATGACTACACCCGCAGAGACCTCAGCACTGGGGCACTCAGTTCTGCCATCCACCAGCATGTGTTAGGCTCGGTGGGTCTGTGAAGGATGCCAGCATGGAGACCAGCATGGCACAACAGGACTTTCAGCACCCTTTCCAGAAAAGCCAGCA